TACTTACGCCTGTTACTCCTCGTGAATGATCATAGGCCGCTCACCAGCGTTCTCCATTCAACCCTATAGTGATAGCTAGATAATAGCTAGCAGTAAAATCTTAGGTTGTATGTTTTGTACTATTTCGGACTAATCAACCAAATGTATAAGCCAGATTCTGATGTCAGTAACCAGACTGAAATTTTTATAGAAAGTAGAATAAGATGCTTATATCTGAATTCCACTACTGGCCACTATCTAACTTTAATAAAAACTTATGACGAAATGGTAATATCGATGAAATTCATCCAGGAAGCACAGATTTCAATGGATACTGATCTATCAGTATGGGGATTTTGAAAATTGTTGAGTTCTACTGAAATCACGAACCGACTTAAGTTAGGCAACTATTGAAAACCTGTAAGTATTGGAAAAATGTTTCGTCTTAGTATGATACCGCTCAGCACCACTGGACCTAGATACATTAGTTTAGGTGTTAAGCGTTTGTGGGCGAGGCCAAAAGTTCTGGATTCGATTCATAGTCGTATATACGTAAGTATCCTTTGCTGAGGAGTACCTTATTAGGACGAAACGGCCATCCACTGTTTCTAGACTTCCAATGATGATTTAACTTAGATCAATCCGTGATCTCAGTAAGATACTGATTTATTGGAGTCTTCAACCTCAACCGTGGGAAAATAGAAATCATTTCAAATGCATATCATTAACGTTATTAAGTGTTTCCTTATTAATAGTTATATTTTATTGAATTTATAGAATTTAATAACGATTCTATTAATTGGATGGTAGCAATCGACAAGACTGTCAGTACCTGTATTTTGTTCTGTATATAACGCTCATCATCTGTGTTCATCTGAAACCATGACGTAACATTTGCTCTCACTCTCTCTTTCTTGCTCTCTTTAAAGATATGAAATATGATTACTTACTGTTACGCTATAAAACCTAGCTAGATATGTCCGCATATGAAGCTTGTTAGTTAGGTAGATTCTTATGAATACTATGCATTACAAAAGAATGATCTAACACATGATTAAGGTCATCTTTACTCATTTTACACTACAATAATTATAATATAATGAATTGTAAGTACAAAGTTTATTTCATTCACTTAATTTTCAGAATGTGTTTTTTTCATAGATTTAACCACGAACTGATCTTAGCTAGATCATCATTGAAAACCTGAAAGCATTGGATGACCGTTCCTACATTGGGCGATCACAAACTTGAGTGGTGTTTTTTCCCTCACAAATATTACGGTGACGATTATTTTTATCCATCGAAAATAAGCAACGACATTTACGTCCCTCGCGACTAAATTAAGGTTGACCAGACAATTATACTAATTTTAAGCAAAAATTGATGGTGGCTAGCAGCGGAATACAGGACGCGCGTTTCGTCTTATTTGGGACTCTTCAGCTGGATGTATCTGCATCCTAGAGTCGATGTGTACTCAGGAACTCGAACACAGTATCATTCACTTCAAATACCATCACGTTATCCACTTAGATACTGAGCCCTGATAGCCACTAGTTTGTGCAATGGGGTGAAGTTTAATTCATCTTTATACTGGTTGCTTGAATCTTCCCATTGATGTTTGGAAATTAGATTGATCAGTTTCCAGCTGACGAGTTTCAAATAGGACGAAACGCGTGTCCTAGATTCCACTATTAGTCACCATCCATCGTTGCTTAGAATGATTGTAAGTTAAGGCAATATCGAGGTAATTCTTACAGGTTGCATATATGCCAATAAGAGACTGATCAATTACAGTCCTAAACACCAATAGGACGATTCAAACAAACAATACAAAATTTATTATACTAATTATTTCCACTTATTTTTCTTCATCTGCCTTTCCGGTATATTCACTACTGTCTAATTATTTGAATACTTCTTGGAACTTATTTTGTTACCTTTTAAATGAATGTCTGTTTTCGCAAGTCTTTAATTTACATCCTATTATGAAACAATAATGATTCATGTACGGATTATTCTTATCACAACTAGTACACTTGTCATTACACTATCAATTTACAGTTTTTACCTATTATGTTTAGTTATGTAGTCTTTTTTATTGCTATCATTGCCCTATCAATTCTCTTGATTGATTGAATAATTTTATTTTATTTCAACCATGAAATGATCTTAGTTAGACAACAATTAAGAACCAGGAAGCATTGAATAGTTGCTTAGTATTAGAATGGGACACTTCAACAACATACATCCATGACCCTGTAAATAATATTGAACTTAGGAACGTATTGACCACGGTGCCGGTATCCAATGGTATACATGTCTAACTTTAACCAGTTCATAATATCGCATGACTATCTTGCATTGCTTGTAATGAATAACTATCTGATATCAGACACAAATTGAACTCTATTAGTCACAATTTCATATGTGTATAAATATTTCTGCTTAATGAGAGTAAAGCTCAATGAATACCTTATTAAAAACAATGTTTGTCCAATTGTACATGTATTGTTTTAGTTTCAAATTTATTTTTAGAAACTAACCAAGAAGTATATAACAAGATTTCGAAATAATAATAATAATAAGGCTGAATTTATTTAAAATATGAAGTTTTATTCTTTCAATTGAATAACAAAAAGGGGTTAGATTAATATCTTTCAAACTAAATAGCTATGTAAAACAATTGTCAATCTATTATTCATGAATAAACAATGGTTAGTTAATAAATGAAATTGGTATCTACTCCATACATTAATATAAGTAATATCTTTTTTCTAAAACATAAACAAATAAAAAGGGGTTTTGTGTTTATAGTTGGATTTCTGAGTCAATTGAAACTAGACCATCATGGAAACTTGAAAACACTGAACTTGATGTATGACTAGTAATGTTATCCAGGAAATATATTTCATTCTATTTATAACAGACTAATCAACTGGATATAACTTCATTCTAGTGTTGATGTTCACATTAAAACTTGAATTCAATACCTTAGACGTTAAATGTTCAATAGTTTTTTCACACTAGACTATATCATTTCACATAATTACTAACTTATTAGATCAATTTTGAGTGTATTAAGAAGTAATTTGTTATTTCCACGATAAATTTGCTTAGAATGATTACATTTGACAACAGACATTATTTGAATAAGAATAAGAAAAAGATAATTCAGTGAAGAGAATTTTCTTTCCGACGAAATCATTTATTCAAGCTGTACATTCGTATTTATAGTTATATGGATAATATATGTCTATAGAAAGATATAGAAAAGATTACATCATAAATTGATTCGAGACTTAATATCAAATGAGGTTACGCAATAATCAAGGGGTAGTGAAGGAATACAAGAAAGAAAATAATTGATGGGTCAGATAATTGTTCAGTTGATAGGTATGAAGAAAAAACGACAAACATAACTGGCATAATAATAATAAACTGAATAATAATCAAGCAAACTTTTCCATGGTGGTCTAGCTTCAAATGACTCATGATCTCAACTATTGAAACTTCTATAAGGTAATAATAATAAGTGATTAGAGTTTAAAATTGCGAATCGATACTTTACATACTGCTAAGGCATTGGTAATTCACGAACTCAAGCTCGAACTTTGCGTGTAGAAACGATTTTTCCAACCTGTCATCCCTCCTTCACCCTAATTAGTATGTTTCGTGTTTTTCTCCTTCTACACTTTTATTTGATTATAATTGATTTTTTTTTAATTACTATTTTGCATTTTAACTACTAATCAGTTATTATTATTATCTTATACAAGTTTGCTTCATTGTTATTCAGTTCATTATTATTATTATGCCATCTATGTTTGTCGTTTCTTCTTTATATCTTTACCCCTTGATTAGTACATAACCTCATTTGATATTTAGTCTCTAATGTAATCTTTCCTATCCTGCTATATTATCCACATACGAATGCACAGCTTAAGTAAATGATTTCGTCGAAAAGAACATTTTCTTGGCCGAATTCTCTTTTTCTTAGAAAAATTAATTTTTTACGATGAAAAAAAAGGGATGAATGATACCATTTGAATTTCCATGATAACTAATACCTTTTTTGAAAATAAAGAAAAAATCTATCATTTATGGTCAGATGTTATTAGTAAATCATTTCACCATATGTTGAATTTTTTTTCGAATACATTTAATATAAACAAACTTGTAATGATTTTTAACTGATTATTCCATTTTATTTTTCTATTGAGATCATGAACCGATCAATGTTAATCCATAATTGAAAACTTGGAAATACTGAATGACCATCTCGTCCTAGTATGGAACTGTCCAGGATTCGTGCGGTACTCGAAACCAGAACTTTCAATCATTACACATGAATGCTTAACCTCTAGACCATTGATCTGGAATCAAACAATGTTAATGTCTAACTCTAACTAGTCTATGATATTGCACCCTATACTGATAAGGATTCAATCTAAAAACATAATACGACCGACTAATAAATGTATTCATTACATGTATATGTGTACAATATTATAAGTTGTTATAAGTTTGAAAGTGAACTAGTTACAAATGAAAAATCTTTTTTACTGAAATATTTATAGACTATAGTCGTTATAAATTAACTTCATCTTGGGTAATATTAAAAACTAAAGAGTATTGAATAGTTATTTTATCATAACACTGAGCTCCTCTATAGTACAATCTCAAAAGGAATCAAATGCCTAAATTTCATGACTTATATAGAATAATTAAGTATTAAAACTGTTTGAGATATAAAACAACGAATATATAATAGCATTACTGATGACTGTTTCGCTCCAAATATATATATATATATATATATATATATATATATATATATATATATATATATATATATATATATATATATATATAATCTATCAATTATGATTTCTTACTAGGAATTCGTAAATGTCTTGATTATTTAGTGAAATAGTTTATCAATGTGTTAAATATGTGACAAAAAACTAATTAGCATTTATTACAGTGTAAGAAAAAAAAAGCAAATAACAACTATTGCTCACTTTTGTCATCCATCTAGCTTCTTCAGAATCAAATATAATATATGGTGAATCAACACGTACTAAACGTTTATTTGGGAATTGATTATGAAAATCTCTTGTATCTAATGGTCCACTAGCTTCTAAATTACTTTCTAATTGTTTTGGTTGATATTCACCTGGTACAAATACATGAGAACGTGTACGTATTGGTGTACGATAAAACATTGATGATTTCATACATCCTTGAAGAATATTCACAGTATAAATTATTAGTAAAATTATTAATAATAAACAATGTGATTGATACATAATTTAAATGTTATTGCATTATGATATAACAATACTATCCAATGAAATATTCTTTATTTCTTTTCATAATTAAATATACCGATTGATAATGAATCCAAGACTATGGGGTTATGTAATTATATTGTATACAATAGAATAATTAAGTGGATTGTCATCGAAATGAACATTATCGATGAATAACAAAAAAAAGTCAAAATGAATTATTGAAAACACACAAACTAAATACTGTATGTGTATTTGTTTAGATATGTCAAGTTTCTCTCTATATAATTCATTTGCGTGGGTACATTTCGAAAAAGAAAGATATTTTTAATCATCATTTTCAATTCACTTATATCATTGTAATTTTGTCTCTCAAACAGTATGTTAGTGAATATCATAGTTAACACAATGTAGGCTACCATTCATTGTATATATAATACTGATATATTGTATCTATTAGTTAATCACAGTAGGGTTGTTTTTTTTTCTTCTTCTGTTAGCTATGCCAGTGATGACATAATTTCTCAGATAATTTTCTAAAATCCATACTATTTTAACAAAGTATGTTTATGTGTAGATAATGTTTACCTCATTGTGAGGTTAACACTTTTAGCGTATAAAAGCGTCATGATACATATGAAGTAGAATATTTATGTTGCCACCTACATCCTCTTATATGGAATAGATACACATCATAGATCTATTTTATAAAAATGAACTGCCCCCCTTATCTCTCATGAATATGATTGGCTGAATTTTCCATACGGCCAGTTATAAATTAACCAATCATATCTGAAATGTATCGTCAATTGAAAGGGTTAGAATGTTCAAAATAACGAGTAGGTGTATTTACTGAACGCAGATAGACATACACTCTAAGTGACATCCAAAAATTTTTTTGAATTTCTATGACACAAAATGGGTCAATGGCTAGTTAATGTTTTACCAAAGTACGTAATCATAAGCTAACTAGAAAAAACTTACATAATACTGAATGGGTTCATAGTCGATTTTACTTGTTAAGGAAAGTGTAAAAATTCTTTTTTTCTAGAAAAAAAAAGCCAGAATAAAATGAAAAATCAAAATTTCAGTTAATGTACATTATGCTATTCGTTTTTTTTTTTGAAAAACGAATTAGTTATCTACCTTAAAACTCTATACATCATACAGATGTCAAAGTATACTTATTTTAAAAAACTAATGACTATTGGTTTATAATAACACTTAGGGAAAGTTTCCTTGGTTTAATTTAGATTTAATGTAACTTTACCATGTTTCACTACTATTTAGTTTGTCCTTATTTTAATCATACACTATTAAAATTATTCCAATGAACAGACAAGAATGAAACTAAATAAAAATCACTTACCATTGGTTTTACCGAACATGATTTTTAGAAATAAGATTATATTTACACATATTACTTCTGAGGAGTCCCGCAATAGGACGAAACGGCCGTCCAGTGCTTCCAGATTTTCCATGGTGGTCTAGCTTCAACTGACTCGTGATTTTAACCATTGAAATTAATGCAATCTCCACAAAACCCACCTCATATTACTATCATAATCACTTAAATGGGTTCGAACTTACCCATATCTCATAGAAATTGTAAAAAAAGGGGAGTCCCATACTAGGACGAAACGGTTGTCCAGTGCTTCCAGGTTTTCCATGGTGGTCTAGCTTCAATTAACTCATGATCTGAATCAGAGAAATCCAATTGTCAAAAATGTACAGAATAATTCATTATAATCCTATGGTGAATAATGGATTTCAAATTGTCTGTAAATACTCAAAATATTAACTTTGCTAACTAAACATTATAGTAACCAACGTAACATGGGCAAAAAATGAGAGTCTTTTATGTTAAATGCTTTATATATCATGTTAGAATGGTATTGATTTAAGTCTGAGATAAACATACAAATGATTATGATCTACATGTGAAACTTATAATATTTTTCTTTCAAGGAACAGATTATGATTGAAGAAATAATCAATAATAATGAACAGAGATAAACATTTAAATGACGAATTTGTAAAAGTTTATATCGTTCTGTTGTGTATTGTGAAGGGTTGCAATTAATCAGTTTCTTTCAGTATTGATATGTCATCAACCCACTGATTGGATAGTAGTTAGCAGTGGAATCTAGAATTCCGGTTAATTCTACTTCGAAGTTATCTAAATGAATCTGCTACACTCCAATGTTGATGTTCATATTAAGATATTAACATAGAATCTTTCAACCTCAAAATCAACTCATTACCATTTGTATTACTGAATTCAGATGGCTACTAACGAAAAATACCGAATTCAAGTATCAACCTGAAAATTAACCCTAAGATTTGCCAAATCTTTTAATCTGAAGAATCTTATATAGGATGACACAAGGATCTCAAATTGCTTTTCTAGTTACTAGGGCACTTAAAAAGACAAGACTATCTACTATATTTTAGATGCCTATCCCAAATCTCTTCGCTGATAATATCCGGTAAATTTTTAATCTGATAAAAAATTCAGGCTAATGTTCGTAAAACATCAAAATAAAATCGTATTATTGAAAGTTTAGAGGTAAAGGTCTCATGATAATAAAGAGGAATGAAATTGTGAAAAGTAGGATACGAAACTAGTTACTTTGTTCAACCTCTTGATTGTACTAATGAAAATTAATGTGTTTTGAAGAGAAATAAGAATTTTCCTCAAGAACTATTATTATTAATATTATTATTAATAAGGGTAATTAACACTTAATATATGGTAGAGTGATAACTTATTACTTCGTAAAACATACTTAATTCTGTTGATCTGAAAAATGTGATGTATTTGCGCTATACATTTCAAACAATCTGGTCACACATATACTTATCAGCACCCTTAAATGCCCTGGTACGGCCGAGAGTGAGGAGAGTCCGCTCTCCCTCTCCAAATGCTCTCACATGGCCACGCGTATATTGCTTCTGCAAGGGAAGTCCTACTCACTGAACTCTCGTGGCGGGGGTGTTGGTTCACAAAATTGAGAGGACGAAAAGCGAATATCCGGTGCTTCAACCTGGTTGGTGGACATGGAGAGTTTAACTAGGGGAGTTGGAAAACCCTGATTCCAAACCAATGGTGCACATGGGTTCCAGTATCCTGAAGGAACAAATGGCGTATGAACCAATCGTTGGTCACTGACTATCATGGGACTGCATCTTCTTACTTTGCTCCACTGCCTTGTGGCTCAGACCTTCATGTCGGAGGCTCCGTGTGTGGCCCCCTAAGAAAACCATCTGCTTCGGTTTCGGCACCCGGACAGTATCACAGCCCTCACACATATCAAATGAGATTTGTGTGGCGCATATGTATTTGGTACCTTCTTTTACCAATATCTATGTGTTAAAATAAATAATTACTTATCAGGGCATTTTATATGAAAATTAATAAAGGTCCATTAAATGAAAGTTCAAGTAAAAAGTAATAAAGGGGAGAGAAACAATTTTACATCATATAGAAAGAATAAGAAATTGTCGCATTATCCTAAGCCATAGAATGACTTAAAAATTACCAAGGTAAATTCAAGGTAACGACAAATTGTTTTTGTTCTATCGAAATTTATAAAAGGGACTAATTGTTTTAAATACTTAATTCTACTCTGTAAATGAAATAGAATTTCATTATACTTTCTTATATGACAAGTCGATTCTATTCGTTGTTTCCTGTTATTTTACAACGGTTATTCTTGACCAAATTTATTTCTTCTACATATTCATTGTATTTAGTAAAATATTGGATGAATATGAAAGTTTCAACCGTAAAATGGTTGGACACTAGAACTAGATAATGTTGAATTTTATAGTTCCTACATCAAGGACTGGATCATTTAAAATTAGAAAGTACTAAACATCTGTTCATTCATAGAATCAAACAACTGGATGCCAACAACTGAATGCTCCCCACGAGACGCAAAATTTCTGGGTTTGATTTCCTGTGATAGGATTGTAGATGAAGATTTCTAAAGAGTCCTCTATTCAATGAGAATAGTTGTCCATTACTTCCTTGGTTTTTATAGGTTCTTTAACTAAAGTCAGTTAGTGGTACGAATTGGAAGAACAGTCACTGGTAGACAAATTTATTGTTTAAGCAACATACTTTTAATGCATTGTATTATTGAACAATTTTCAAACCAACAATTCCTTAAATGGGATTTATTTACCTCACGGAAAAAAATTCGATCTCAGATTAAATATAAACGATTCTAAACTATTAATAAATTTTTAACATTATTTTCGCAATTATTCTTAACTGTTTTGTCATCATCATCTTACAATGAAGTCTTGGTATCAGTTATTTAAACAAGGAAAAAGACAGCTGCTTAAATTTTAAAATGAATGAAAACTAATATGAAAACTCCTATAAGCATTAATTATAATTAATCAGGTGTTTTAAAACAGTAATTTCTTTTAGAGTCCATAAATCCTATGCTAATTGATTGACTGTTAACGATTGGGGTTATCCACATGTAAATTAAAAAGAAAAAAACTATCCACAATCTCACGGACTAATCAAATTTATGCATTGATAGAAGGATTTGTCATCTTCACCATCTTTGTAAGTCATGATAATTAGCATGCTTGACAGTAAAACGATAGTATACAAATGAATAATAGTTGGGAACAAGGTTTTTAGGTATTTTAACAACATTCAAATATCTCATAATGAAAAGTAGAAATAGCTATGGATACCGATGAAAACATTTAAAATGATAACACAAAACTATTTTTGTTGTTGCGAAAATCGATTGAAAATGACAGTGTTAAACGTATCGGATCTTCAGTCCTATCCCTGGAGGTTGTACATAGTAGGTGAATCGATATTATCTCCAAATCGTAGACACATAACCTTAAAACAAACCTTAATCTATTAGGATTACATTTCCCTGGAAAGTGAAATCCACTCATTCATATTGTAGTAGAGTAGTCTTTTTAACGTTTATCAGTTCGTCGTTAAAACTCTAACATTTAATGCTTATCCCTAACTAAGA